AAGAAAGAAAGAAAGAAAGAAAGAAAGAAAGAAAGAAAGAAAGAAAGGATTTTCATGGATATTCTGTAGCCTTTAAGAAGCCTCTTTCTAGCTCCTGTCTATAAAGAGGGATTATTGTTAGTCTGTCTGTGAAGTTCTCGTTGGATTTGCAGTGCCTGTCCCAAGCCTTCCTTTACACAGAACAGAGAGCAACCAAACACATCTTTTCTACAGGGGAAAAAAAAGAAAGGCCTGAAAGTTTTCCAGGCCTCTGAGTAGAGAGGTAGATGGAGAGGCCTGGAGAGTCGGAGAATTCACTCCATCCTCAGGCCCACAGGTCTCCTACCTTTCCCTCACAACACAGATTTCTGTCCTTGAGGATTTCAGGGAATGACTTCCAGGCCTGAGCACTAGTAGCCCACCAGCAAAGCAGGTCTGCTCCTGGACAGACTAGCTGATATGTGACACTTTCACGTATCACGAATTGATGAAGGCGAAAGGACTCTGTCCTGAAAACTCAGGGTGTTTTGATGTCTGAACAGTGCTCACCACCAGTGCTAGTTATTTCAGGTAGACAGTCACTCCTTCTTTTTAAATTGTTCCAAGATAAAAATGTATGTGTGTCTGTGTGTGTGTGTGATTGAGAGGGAGAGAGAGAGACAATATGGGAGTGGTCATGGAGGGCTGGGGTCAACTTGGGTGTCTTTCCCAATTACAACCACCTTATTTTTTGGGTCAGGATCTCTCACTGACCTTGGAGCCCACTGATTAGGCTTGACTGGTTAGCCAGTGAGCTCTGTGCTCTGCCTGTCTCTGCCTTCACAGTGCTGGGCTTACAGTCATGTGTCGCTGGGCTTTTCGCAAGGGTACTGGGGATCTGAACTTGTGTTCTCATCTTTTGAGGCAGCACTTTATCAACTGAGCCATCTTCCTAGGTCCCAGGTTTGTTATACTGAGCATTTCCAAATTGTTGTAGTGTTTGTGGCTGGGGCAACATGATCTCTCTCCTTTTTGCTCATCCTGGGAGCTTTCTTGAGGGTAGCACATTGAGAATTGAGAAGCGTCAATTTTAGGTTCACTTGGGGCCTTTGGTCACCAACATATTAATTTGGTGGATAATTCAAGGGAAAGAATTGCCTTGGATCATCCTTCACGACTTCCATGATTCAGTGCAATACCACCTCAATTCTGGATTTATACGCTTCTCATAATTTGGAGCTTATTAGTATTAAAGACACTAAGCTGGAAACAATCCCCGGTGGGTTGCTTTCACCTAGTTATATAGTAAGGATCCTTTTCCACCATGCCAGTGTCACCGCAGCAATGCTGTCCACTGCAAACACTGTTGTTAAATGGTCAGGACTCAGATGCAGAAGGAAAGAAACCTTTGATTTGCTTCTTTCCTTCCTTCTTTCCTTCCTTCCTTCCTTCCTTCCTTCCTTCCTTCCTTCCTTCCTCCCTCCCTCCCTCCCTCCCTCCCTCCCTCCCTCCCTCCCTCCTTCCCTTCCCTTCCCTTCCCTTCCCTTCCCTTCCCTTCCCTTCCCTTCCCTTCCCTTCCCTTCCCTTCCCTTCCCTTCTTCCTATCTTTTTCTGTTTTCTTGCTTGCTTGCTTGCTGGCTTTTGGCTGCTTTGCTTGCTTATAGATTTTCTGGTTTTGACCATCAGACATAGTAACAATATGACACTTTAAGCAAAGCGTCTTTTACAAAGAAGCCTTGAGGCTTTCAAGTTCTAAAGCGCACTGTAGCTTTATCTATATTTTTCAAAATATATTATGTCTGTTTTATCAAAATATAGTCTACATGACTGTTGAGTTCTCCTTGGTAGAATATGCATCTTATTGTTCACTGAGGATGTGGAGTAACCATCCATCCATCCATCCATCCATCCATCCATCCATCCACCTGCCTTAGACTAACTGTGCAGAACAACGTTCCAAAACCATCCATCTGCATCCATTATTTCCATAGTCCAGCCAAAATCCTTACTGTGTAGGCTGTAAACATTCATAAGAAGGGCCTTGGTGCTTAAGAAGTCTAAATGCACAGATGAAATAAACCATATCTAAATGTGGCCAAAGCCAATCGATTTCCTTATAGAGAAATTATGGAGATATTTGCTTTTCAGTACATTAAATCTGCAGCCACATTAGTGGTCTCTGTATCTTTCGATTTTGTGAAAGGGAACTGAAATCCAGCAAGTCGTATCAGGAGCCCATTCAAAAAATGAACAAAAAAGCAAATGAAAACGACCCAGAATGAGGTGGTATAGTTTTCAGTTTGTGTTTTGTAGGCATAGGTTCCTTCTTTAAAATTTGCAATTTTTTCTGAGAGGTGGTGGATTTTCACTTCTGAGGCAAACAATACCATGACAAGACAGCCACAGGAGCCTGCAACACAAAGAACAAGCAATACGTTAGGACAAATATTACCCGATTGTACGAGTCAAAGAGAACATCCAAAAGCAAACCAAAGGCACCATGCCACCACCAACCTCACTTTCATTCTTCTCAAAAATGGTACTATTGCAAAACTGTAATCATGAGCCTGATTCTCCAATCCATGTTTGGTAGCATTTGGGGTATGGCTGTGAGTAAGAAAGATTTGTGTGGCGAAGGGACATTGATGGCTTGAATAGGGCAGTTGGAATCTAGTTGATCTCCCTGCGGCCTGTATTGCTGGGCCCCTTTAAAGCACAATGATCTACTTGACTACTAAGCAGCCACTGTGGCTGCTAGAGAACACATTTCTCTGTACTTCACAGGGGATGAAGGATAAATGTCAGTGAAAAGCCCCGCATTTCCTCCTAAAAGGGTACCATGACCTCTCCAACTCTCAACTTGCCACCACTGCCCAGAGGAGCACCTAGGGCAGAGACGTAGGTGTGGATAAAATGTTGTTGACCAAGAGCATATTGTTCTCTTGGTGGCCAAAATCAGATTTTCAGCTGAGCATATGCCTGCCTTTAATAAATTCAGGTAAGATGAGAATTGCTGAGGTGGAAAAGCAGGAACTTTCTGCCTTACTTCTTCCTTCTCATTACTGAAATATGGATGTAATGCCTTCTGGGGACATTTTATTCCAGGTGGCATCAGAAATGGAAGCCATGGGGCAAGGGAAATGGCTCTCTGATTAACATCCTTACTATGCAAGCACCAGAGTTCAGATCCCCAGAACCAACATAAATGCTGTGGCGTCACCCTGAATAAGTCAGGCTTAGAAAGCTTAGACAGGATATCCCCACAGCAAGCTTGCCAACAAGACTGTCCATGTCTGGGAGCCTTGGATTTAATTGAGAGGCCCTCCATCAAAGAATAAGTTGGAAACAATATCAAAGTTGATTCTCATCATCAACCTTGGGTCTCCATACACATGCACACACACATACCCATTCAAAAAGAAAAAGAAGCCATGTACTATTGCAAAACAAAAAAGGCAAAACCTGGACCCCAGATACATGAAGCTACCTGGCTATGCCTGGATTTTAACTTCCATGTTTCAGTGGGTGAAGACATTTTCTGTTTGTTTTATTTACCTCACTGCTATGATTCCCCGTCACCTGTCACTGCCTGTAGCCTAATGTGAAGGACGTGGCTGTAGGCTGTGGGAGTCCTCTGCAGGAGCGGGCTGCTCCATACTAACTGGATTCTGGAAACTGATGGGTGGTCATCTTCTGTCCTAAGGATGAAGAATCAGAATCCTCCCTGCTTCCCCTCTCATCCTTCAGGTCTGGATGGCCAGACCTGGAGCAGGATGGATGGCCAGGACTCCCGAATGGTTTTATGGCTACTGCTTTTTTCAGTTCACCACCATGCAGTTCTTCTTAGGTGATGAGCTGAGATGGCTTTCTGACTTTGGCCAAACCAAACTCCTCCCCGTCACCCAATTATGAACTTAGGTGATGGAACCCCCAAATCACATCTTCAGTTTCATCATCTATAGTAGGTAGTCATTGCATGGTTAGCTTTGACATTGCAAGTGATCCATAAAATGGGCAATTAATAGCTTGTCCTTGATGTTTATGTATCCCTTTTTGTTTCTTGTAAGTTTTCTTTTAGATTATTCATTTTATTTTATTTGTATGAGTGTATTGCTCACAGGTATGTGTCTACATGCTGGGACCCAGAGAGGACAGACGAAGGTGTCAGATCCTCAGGGACTGGATTTCCCAATTGTGTGAGCCAACATGTTGGTACTGGGTATCGAATCTGGGTCCTCTGCAAGAACAGTAAGTGCTCGTAACTGCAGAGCCACCTTTCCAGTCCTTCTTGTTCTTAATCATAATCTGTTGCCCTGCCCTACCTCACACCAGTAAACCTTGCTATCTCCAAATCTGTAATACAGCCTTATTCCCTCAAATAAGATTATTGTCAATTTAGCATGTAACTTTTTTATTCTTTGATTTTAATTACTTCAAATATTGTGAAAATGGCTTTATTTTTTTGTTTGCACACACTTTTTGTTGTTGTTGTTGTTGTTAAACCTATCATATGCCAGGCACAGGGATAATAATGGAGATCCAATTTTGAAAGAAAACATACATGGTCTCTGCTCCCAAAGAGAGTAGTATGAGTAAGCAACAGAACAATTATGAACTCATTGCAGTGTGTGCCCCAGTAGGGAATGCAGGGCACTGTTGCTGAGTTGGTGGGCAGCATCCTCAGAGATAGATGGGAAAAGTTAGCTCACAAAGGGAGGCTGGAGTGTGTAGGAGAATCCAGTGAGTGTGGGCAGAGGTCCCTGTGCCTTCTGCAAAAGGAAGCTTGGATTGCTACACAGATAGAATTGATTGTGGGGGAAGGGATGCAGGCAGGAAGAAGAAAGGTGAGGTCATATTTCTGCTTTAGGACTTCACCAACACATCCCCGTCATCCTAGCACTTGTGAGGTTGAGGCAGGAAGAGTGCATGAAAAATAAAAATAAAAAAATGAAGGCATGCAGACAGATAGATGGGGGTGGGGATGAATGAATTACACCTAGGGCTGGCCCCACCACATCAACATATCATACAACACAACAAGCCAATATCAAATGCTATCACTTTCTTGAGACTTCACTTTCCACCAGCCTTGGCATGGTGGCTGGAAAGATTCCTTTGTGAGATTTGTCAGCTTGACTATTTTTGTATTCTGAGCTTCAAGCCAGAGCTCTCCCCTTGCAAACCATATCATTCCTTTATTGTTAGATCCTAACAAAAAGGCTGCGATGCTGTTTTCTCTTTATCTTTTATTTGAAAATTGTAGAGAAAATGCCATTGCTGTTACCACAAGAGCTCCCTTTGTCTGAGGAGATGGTGAGTTTCAGACAGGAGAGAAACACTATTTCTTCAGTGCCCAAAAGGAAAATTTAAGCTCAGTTCTCTTTTCAAGTCATTAAATATTTTAAAGGAATACTTTGTTAAGGGGGCAGCATGCTCCTCTGTCAAGATCACGGCAGCCAGGACACAGTATATGGGCTGATAGAGTGATCAGACTTCCCTCTGGATTCTGGGTTTGACCACAAGCCAACTTTGTTATCTTGAAGTCAGAGGACAGAAACCAAGCCTGAGCCCCAGACAACCTGCCTGTGACTGCTAAAGGGAAACAACTCAGTGTGAATTGGAGATATTTTCGCTTCTCTTTGTCCAGATCTATAAAAGAGATGTGAGATCAAGGATAACTATTTATGACTTCCTGACCAAAAGACACACATGGAGGCTTTCGCTGTGAGGCCCGGCTGCTTGGAATGTGGAGGGAGGCTGAGAGACATGAGAGATGGTAAGAACCAGGCAGGTTCCAAAACGACTCTCTATCACAGCAAGAAGGGCCTGTACACCATGTCCCCTATTTAGAGGGGCTTGCTTTGCTCCTTTTTGGAAAGCTCTCCCTCCCCAAAAGAGTGAAGTCAATGGAACATGTTCACCTGGAGGACTTGCCATACTGCTCGGACCCCAGAGCTCTTATCCTCACAGACCTGAGCCCATATCCAGGACTGCACGGTTATCTTGCCAGGGTTAGCCATCCCAAGAACATGCTGGTGGCTGCTATGACATATCCCTCAGCACTGTGAATGCTTTAGGAATAGCCGTTTCATACAAGGCTCAGTGACCCCCCCCCCAATATATTTGCAAAGCCTTTCCTGAAAGAGAGGAAGCCACACTGAGAGGAGAAGAGGACTGAACAGGAATGGTTGCTCCTTCTGACACTTACTCATGTGCAACATTCATAGCAGTCAAGAATTCTACATTTAAATCCCTCAAAGGTCCTTCGGGTAAAGGGGGAATGTTTCTTGGGGTAGAAAAATGCAGCATTTTGTATTTAACGGTTTAATTCACTTTAACCTTAAATGTTTAAACACACAGCATATGGATTTTCATTTGTATGCTCCCAGGGCCTCACAAGTGTTAGAATTAGGCCTGCATGTCTCTCTCCTCTTTTATCCCAGGGAACATGTGACATCAAATTCCCTAGCTCAGCTGGAGCCACTGGAACAGCTCCCCCACGTGTCTGGCCATCTGATCCTCACTGCTGCACTCGCAGAAAAGTTAGAATGAGCCAGACTTTGGAAGCCTGCTGGACCTCACTCAGACTAGAATTTGGGAAACAACCAGGCACAAGGCCCGCGTTTGCAGCCCAGCGTCACACTTAATGGCCGCAGCCGTTTCCCTTTCATCTGTCTGTTTTCCTCACCATCTGGATGGCGCTGCTGTTGGGCTCCCCCTTCCTTAATGGCTCTGATTACTGAGTTAATCTCTGACTGAATAAGATGGCTGAGCTACTGGGCTGTCACACCAGGAAGGAGCAGACATTAACAAACATTTGGGATGTTCTAGATGCTGCATACCCATGCCTCTCATCTGGCAGCTGCCTGGGATCGCCAAGTTTTGTGTCTGTCTCCTTGGACCTGATAACACAGGGAACAGAGGTCGCAGCCAGTAAGAAAGTTGCTTTTTCTATTCTGCTTCACCCTGAACAAAACACCTGCCAAGGTCTGTGGGCATCCAGTGTGCTGGGAGCTGATTTCCTCACAGGGCAAAGAATTCTGAAATCACCCTACAAGCTCTTATTTTTGAAAATACTAATTTAGAATGTTATTTCCTGTGAAAGTAACTTCCAACATCTTCAGGATGAGAACACATTATTTCTCAAGTCTCTCCTAGGTGACAAATGATAGAGGCATTCTTCGCCTGATGTAGAATGGCAAACTGGCCATTTACTTCTTTAGAATTGCTAAAGATGCCAAATAAGGGTGGGGGTTTCACAACTTCATAGGTGTGGTATTGATCTCCTGTGACGTCACACAACCTCCCTCATCGAACATGAGGTCCCTTCCCTTCAGTAATGACTTCGTTCCTAGGTAGAAGCTTTCTGATTCAACACTGCTTCCGTGAACAGTGCTCACCACATGGAAA